AACGACCTGAAAATATTAACGAGACAAAGGCACTGAGACCCTTTGAGCACATTTAGTAAGGAATGTTTATTATTTGCGTTTAGATATATGGGTAAATATGAAACTACAATTAAAATACTGCATTTTATGTTTAAATGTGGCCTGGACGCATGACAGCGTAGTCTTTAGTGTATTATTAAATGTCCCGAGAAGCTCGTTGACGCGTGACACCACACCTTCCACTGCGGTACCGGCAGGTTTCTGACACCAGCATGGCAGACGTCCTGTGCAAGCAATATTGCCACGAATGAAAAATGATTAGGCGTTGACAACTGAAGAAACTAAACGTTTAATGGGGTGAACTGGCGCCCAAATCAGAAAGGGAACAGAAGAAAACAGCAGAGCGCCGCGGGCGTCGATGTCGGCGAAACCGCAGCATCGAGCGCTGGGGCGAAGCTGACCCCGGCTCGCCACGCCGAGCCCCTTCTGTACACGCGTGGGCTTCTGGAACATTCGGTGTAGAAGGTTCGGTGCGTAGAACATTCTAACCTCCAATCAGCAAGACGGTTCTCGAATTTACCAGAACATCGCTTTACAGATTCAACAAAAATGGGTACCCGCGGCTATGAATCAAGCCCTGGCTTTCTGCGCGGAAGGCAAGCGCGATAACCGTTAGACCACGGGCGAACTGCCTACTTGGTCAACTGGACGCGCGGCATTATTCCTCCCTTAAAAAAAAAAAAAAAAAAAAAAAAAAAAAAAAAAAAAACATTGTTTTGCGACATCGGATGCACGCTTAGCAGCGGCATCCGCTGCCTGACGCTGCTTTCGCAGTTCACCGGTTTCCCGCGCGCGCATTGGCTTCCACCCTGTGACGTCGCTTCCCACTCGCTTCTCAACTTCACTACTCTCCTTGTCTTTACGTTCCTATGCGGAGGGCTTCCCTTTCCACTGTGTTGTCCGCAGAAGGACGGCGTTGGTTTTTCCCCTTGTCGTGTAAATACTAAATATAACGAATTAAAAAAATAAAGTGGTCCGCTGACTTGCCTAAACGACAACAACAAAATGTGTTTGTTTTTTTAACGAAAGAGGATTAAAGGCGTTTTGAGACATGCTCCACGCGTGTCGTAAGAAAAAATTACAGGAAGATCCATCGGTGGAACCGCCGGGAATGAGTTAGCGTGACCCATGGGAACGCCACAGAACTGTCCCCCTTTGGGAAACGCGAACGCTGACCCCTTCACTTTTCTCATTCCGCTTTCTCCTTTGCTACCTGTATTTTTGCTGCCTTTTTTTTTTTTTTGGCCTCGTTACGAGAGAATTTTTAGCGTTTCCCAAAGGGGCACGTGGCGTTTCCCAAAGCTAATGCTAAGAATCCACCACTGGATCTTACTTTAATTGTTCACACCCCTTTCCTGTAATTTGCCTGTTTTTAGTACGTCGACGCCCTTGGATACAGACATTCATATCATCGTAATTCATATCATTCAAGGAAACAACCGCATCTGTACAACTCGTGAAAGGAACTGCATCCGTGCCACTCGCGGTGGGGAACCGAATCCAACGCTTTAACTACATACACACATCATCATCATCCACGCATACACGCATCGCTACTACAGAAACCCAGAGCGAAGAATAACCGACGACGGCAGAGCGGCAACTGAGCACGCCCGCATTCCTCCGCGTCGCGGCGGAACACCTCTTAGACAAGAAGGCCGTATTGCTAAATAAGAAAGCATCATCAGAGAAGGCCAACGCTGGACACAGATTGGACACGACGATTGCGTCAACGTTCGCTCAAACTTGACTCGAAGCCGAGCGCTGACGCTGCACTCGTTTCCAATTTGTGTCCAGCGTTGGCGTTTCTGAATAAGCCATTTCATTCAGCAGCACGGCTTTGTTATCTAGGAGCTGTCGGTCGGCGCCTCCTCCTCTTTGGCTTCACGACAGCATTGCGCGTGACTTTGATGAAATCGAAAGGTTTGTGAGCAGCGGGGAGAGAGGGAGAGGTTGACGCGTACGGACGTCAGCGCTTCGGACCAATGGGAGCGTCGCACGTGTCACCATCTCCCCCTCCTTCTCCCTCTCTCCCAGGCGCTGACAAACTAAAGGACACCGCCGGGTTTTCGTAAAAACGAGCGTTCTAATGCTAACGCATTAAAACGATAACTGATTTTCTCTACCTACATCGCCCGCGTCTGCCATCCACGCAGCCCCTGACTGGCGGAGCAACCAACAGAGGACGGCAGTTGTACCCGGCAAGGATTACCAGCCGGTCGCGACAAAAGGGAACGACATGTAGCTGAAATTAGCCGACGAACCATCAGTTTTATTTGTTTTCTGTCCAGTTCATGTGTTTTGTTCAGCGACTGCCGTTTTTTATTCAAAACACTCTCTGCTTTCGACGCAACCGGGCGGTAAGCTTGCGCCGAATAGCACCGGGGCCACGGCCGCCATCTGTCGGTTGTTCCGCCAGTCAAAGGGGGCGTTAATAACAAACTGCCGCCGTTAAAAAAAAAAAAACCAAAAAAACTTACTGTTTTTTTTTAATTTCATGCGATGCTTTCACCAGCTTTCAGCACGCCTGTGGTAAATCGTAGCGTGATACGTTGTTAAGCCGATTTATGCTGTCACTCTAAAGGTTTTAATTACCGGGGTCTGTATGAACGAGACATATTCACAGTCTGGGGAGCGAGTGTTAATGAAATGTTATATTACAAAATGCTAAAGATATACACAGTTCGAGGTAAACCTTGCAGAAACAATGCTCTCTTGGCTCACCTGTTTTGACGGAAAATAGCGGAATTTTACTTCCAAGGCGTCTGTAATAATTAATTTTATTATGGACGAAATCCGTAGTCTAAAAGGTTAGTCTTGCTCCACTAATTTATGTGTGGATTACCATATCATCATAAACTTTGATAGAAACCTTTTTTTTAAATCTGAACACAAGATAACAATGCAACAAACAGTATATTTTTATTTAATTAATTCGTCTTCGACGTTTTTCCAGTCTCTTTTAGTTTCTGCCTCTTCACCTTTCCTGTCCGCGTTTTTGGAATGGACTGGACGATCACGACTCCTCCGTACAGGTGCTTGAAAAACGCAGTTCGAGCTGGAAGGGGTCGATACATATGCGTGTAAGTTTCTTCACTTTGCTACTGTGTGAGGGTAAAATCTTGACATTGTTCAACGTCCGACCCCAACACCTAAACAACGTTCATGAAATATAATTATCAAATGTTACGTTACCTTGATTCTGCCGCTTGTCTTTTTAAAATATGCCAAGAGAACGTGACTTTGTGGAAGCCACGTGATGAAGGCCCACAAAAAGATGAAGGCTTCCGCCGTACAAATTCAGTGCTCCTTGCCGCTTGCACAGCTATCTGTGCTGTGTTGCTCACACATGTTTAATCCCCATCACCTCTGAATTTACCTCTTCGACTCGGTCCAGTATTAAATAGATAGGTACCCGTCCATAGTGAAGGCGCACAGTTGGCGGACCGCCAAGGAGACAGGCATTTCTCCTTGGCGGTCCGCCAAGGAGAAATACCTGCCTCCTAATTGTGCGCCTTCACTATAAACCGAGTCGAAGAGGTAAATGACATGGGCATCAGGCCTATTGCTTTAGTTGTATATTTCATGCCGGAGATTTGTGCTTCAACCGAAAACAACTTATCAGTTTGCAGCTTGGAGTAAAACGTCTGAGGTTGAGAACACATAGGTATGAACTGGAAGCCGAGTTCAATTTAGACACTGTTCAAGGTATAATAAAAGCTTCATATGTTTTGATACTTTCATATATTTTTAATTAATTAGCTGTTCATCCTCAAGTATGGCTATTTTATTAATTACTTCATTTATACATGCTGCCGGCAGCCGAGGGGCAGCCAAGGTAAGAAAAACATTGTTGAAATTTTACTACCAAATATAAGTATATAGGTGCGATTCCAAGGAACCCATGATTGGTGCACAACACAAGCCTTAAAATAAATAAATCTTTTTGCACAAAGAGACGCAAATACCCTGTGATGAACATTTTCTATACTAACAGAAAAACGTATCACATTACTAATAACAATTAATCCCGACACAAAATGTACAACAACATGCATTTTTTATACCTTAAATATCAACATCCCGGAAACTGTCTCAATAAGTACAAAAGCGAGGACACGCATCAGGAAGAGGAAACTGTTCTGGGGAGCGAGTTCCCTTCCTGAACAGTACGTGAAAAACAGGATATGTAACAGTCTGCGCTGCCCATGACCTATGTAAATGTTTCGGAATGTTGGTTTCTTGTTGCCCTGGATCTATTAAAGTGGAAGTAGTGACCAAATGGGTTCCCAGAGGACCCACTTTCAAACAATATTTAAACGTGTAAGAAAGTGGCTCCGTAAGTTCATAAGACATTATGCTTAATATACCACGAAACAAAATTAAAATGTGTTATACCGCTGAAAAAAAAAACGCCCACCAAGTGAGTTGCGATTTTAACTTTTTCGGTCTAAGTTATGTATCTTTATCACCTCGAATTTTACGACAGGCAGGAAAACAGCTATCAATTATATCGTTCCAGTCGAACTCCAGGGGCAGAAACATTTTAAATTAAACAGAAGTTTGAGCTCTATGTTCCTCCCGGGATTTTAAAATAAACAAAAGGCTTAACCAAAATGGGCTCCAGGGAACCGCAGGCATTACGTAAGCCATGACAACTCCCACTTTCTAGCGACGCACGCATAGACACTCGAAGAATACATTTATCAACACCCGACAATTCTAAGAACGCACTCATCTCTACAACATTCAGGTGAAAAAGCTGGGTAAAATTGTAGCTAAACGTTTTTGCGTCATATTGTAATTGCTGTGTAGATTGACTTTCGTTTGTGCGATCTTCAACGAAAATATTCTAAGAACCGTGATCATGTAGACAAATGGTTAGGGCGCAAACGAGCTGGTGATTGTTTAGCGTTATTGACTAAAACCCCGAGAACGGCTCGAGAAGGGACAGGCAACCACTAAGCCTCAACTTATTGTTTAAACAATTTAGTTATTATTCAGCAAATAAGTCTGATCAACCTATGGCGGATTTCTAAAAAGTTAGTTTCAGCTGAGTTTGTTGTGATGGGAACTAACTCACCTGCTACGAACTCTTGAAGTTCCTCGCTTGTAGGACTCATGCCTGGACGCGCTGAATCCTTGAGAGCGACAAAGGCTTTCGCCACTTCGCCAAACTCCGGATGAAGGACACCGACGACCACGGCCTCGGCAACAAAAGGATTACTCAGCAGAATCTCCTCCAACTCGGAAGGGGACACTTCGTAATCCAGGCACTTTATCAGGCTCTTCATCCGTTCGTAATAATAAAAACGGCCATCCTCGTTGTAGTAAACAAGATCGCCTATCAAGAGAGCAGAGTACAACTACTATCAATTTAATCGAATGCAAAAAAAAAAAAAAATTTCACTATCACGCTTGCTAAGATTTGTTACAAGTTCTCGGCGAAATAATAAACATACATTTCACAATTTCCCGCCCAAACGAACATATTTCAAGCTAAAATAGTAGCTTAAATTAATTTACTAAAGAACTATGTTAATTTTTGTCGGATTTGAAGCAACAGTGCTGTCTGCTAAGAATACACGTTTGACAGAACAATGAAAATGTAGCAAGCTTAGGCTGACTCTACACTGCAGTAGCTAGTCAAACACATTTTCATATAAACGTTCAGGATATTCGCAAACCAGTTATTTCGGCAAAATAATGCACTAAGCAAACATACCTGCAAGATTTTTTTGTCTTGTTTTTCGCTTGACGTGTGCAGTCACGCGTGTTGGAAATGTGTACTACATAAACAAAATACTTTCATGGGTCAACTTTGAACGAGAGGCATTTCAGAGTCGCTGAAATTCCTCTCGTTCACACAATAGCCTCGATGTTAACTAAGCTTTCTCCCGTTAGATAGCACCGGAGGGATTTGTAGGGACGCCCTCGGCTGGGCTTTTTCATATTGTGCGCGACTATACTTACCTAAACGTGTCGACAATGCTGCCACCAGTAAATGTATGTAACAATTAAAAATAGCTTCCATTATCTTGAAAATCCTCAAATGTACTGTTGAGGTGTTTTATAATGCCCCGGTTTGGGAAAATCTGAAGGAACTCTAGAATTTTTTATCCGAATACTTTAGAAGTTGCAATAATGTTTCGAGACTATGCGTTTGTTTTCGTTTCTTGTCGGACATCCAATGAGCATATCCTCGTACGAAAGGAGCACGCCAACGGCGTCGCCTATGTCGCCTCTTGTTCTCGGAGAGCCTGGATTGAAGAGAGCGTGCAACTCAAACCATGGGGAGCGTTTGCAGCTTAATGGCGGACGCCTCCATCGGAGATTGGTCTCAAGTGCGCATGCGCTGCTTTATCATCTGGCTAGGAGGAAAGAAGGCGGAAAGGTGAATAAGCGCGCTGTCGGACGACTAACGCGTTCGTCACCTGTAGCTCGCGTTGCAAGCGCGGCCCGTAAACCACGTGACCCTGTTCGGGCAGTTGGACATTCTCTGTAATACAGGCTCTCTAATCTTTCGCTGCCACCTGGCGGTTGTCGCCGCCTACTCGTCGGGAAGCGATTGTGACCAATTGCGTGGGCCTATTGTGCCCGTCATTATTACGACGGGATTTAAGGTTCTTACAAATTCCGCAAGCTTTTTCCGATGCGCAAAACTTAATCGAACCTCATCTGAGTGCAGCCGCCAAAGAGGACCTATGATCTGTTTAGTGCTAGGGGCGACCTAGTCGGGGCTCGAGTTTTTGTCAGGTCCTTTCCTATACTTGAGTTCGGCAAATGACAATTTTCATTGGAAAAACTGTAGTGGTTTCCAGGTAAGATTTAACTATGAAATTATTCGGTCGCTTGCTCAATGCAACCAAGTCTAAACCAAATATCAAATAGTTTTTTTTTTTTCTTTTTTAAGACGTGTTTAATCGTAAATGCATCCCGGAATCGTAACCTCCAGACCAGATTCCAGCTCTAAATGTTGCATCTGCATAACTCCATAATGGAGACTCGAATGAATAACTTTTCTGCCGTTTCTTTCCCCGGTTTTTTTTTTTTTTCATTTCATATTTTTGCCGCCATGCTGAGCTTGTTTCCACCTCTCACTCGGATAGGCGGTAGTTTCTTTACTTGGAGTCTTTTCCGCTGGGTGGCGTCGCCTCCTGTGGAGTAGCGAATATTGTAGGATTTTGTTTAAAAATGTCTCAGACATGTAGCAGCTGAAATATACCCAATAGATGTTTGTGTTTTTATTTACATACCTCTGCTTAAATAAGCTTCTTAGGTCATATTTCAGTCTCTATTAGCGCCGAGATTCTTCAGTGTCGCCCTTTTATGGTTTCCTTTCGTGATGTCACGGCTAAGATTTGCCTCCGCATCGCCATTCATTCATTCATTCATTCATACGTTTGTTTATTTTCCGTGCTCATGAACAGCGAGTAGCCTGAGTAATTATGCCCATAGTCAAAAATAGCACGCACAAGAGATCTACGGCACCTGCAACAAATTATATCTATTATGGGGGAGCAGGAACTGGGTAACAGTTAAATATCAGTCACTGGACGCCGAAACGCTTGTCCACGTGAGTTGAAAATGTCGATGCTGGTTGTATTGAACCTCTTTTAAAAATGTTGGATGCGGTTTATGGGCCTGGAAAGGCTGATTTTTTTTAAACTGAGGAAGTGGGATTTACCCTCAAAAGCACTCGCGGTACATATATATTAATAGCTGATGTGAGAGTTGAACAGTCAATTCGACAATAAGCGCATTTATACGAAAATACTAGATCGCGCTCAAGTCTTCTGGAGCTTAGTTTAGTACAGCCTCATCGTCGTAAAAGCCTGTTATACTCATAATAAACACTGCGACCAATGTATCGATCATAAATAATACGAAAGAAACGTCTCTGTACGCTTTCGATTTTTGCCTGGTTTGCCCATACCAATACAATTCCAAACGCCCGAACTAAATTCAAGCTTGCTACGTACTAATGAAAAATAGAAAATGAATATACAAGCTGACGAAGGAAATTCACGCGTTATTCTCGAAATAACACCTAGCGTGATGCTGGAAAGATGTTCTTCAAATGGACAATGATGAATCAATATATGCTCCTAAATCTACTGTGCATTCAACCCGCAGAGGTAGGTTCTCAAGATAGTAACAGAAACTTATGATTTCCAATTTCTTAGAACAGGACATTACTACAGTTTTCTAAGAATTTAGTGTTAACAGATTGCTGCAACACCAATGGTGCACAGCATTAACATGCTCGAGGATCATTTCACAGTCATAGATGGATGACACCATTTTGATGGCGTCAGCATATTGCAAAATATGTGGATGGCGGACACAATGCCATAATTGGCAGAAATTGCCTCGCCGTAGGCCGGCGATTGGGCAGGCATTACCAGTATACAAGACCATGGTTGGACCAGTCGCGAAAAACTTCTACAACAGCGGCGCTTTCGGTGGCACACGTCGTTAAAACGTGTAAATAAACATTCCGCATAAGTACGTATTTTGTATTTATCAAGTTTGAAGAGCTGTTTTTATTAACAAAAAAAAAAGTTGAATAAAAGGCTTTCTCAATTCATAGATATTACAGGTCCTTACAAGTTTAACAGAAAATTTTTTGCGAGGCATTGTTTTAAGTAACTCTCCAAAAATTTCTTTCACAACTTCAATTTTGGCTGCCTTTTTCTCACGGACATAAAAACTCGAGAAATGTTCGTGCGTCGGATTTTTTTTTTTTGTGTAAAACTACTATATGTGTTTTTAAACCCTTAAAATTGGGGATTCGTGCACCAAGTGTTCCTAACTCCGGCCGCATGGATTGTGCTCGGTTCTTTCAAAACCGCCTGTCGTGTTTGCAAATTCACGTATTAATATTGTATAATGTTGTTTCCAGGATATTCATAAAACTAAGAAAGATAATACCACAAAAAAACATTATTTTTGTTATTTTCACATATGCAGCACAGTTACTAGAACTTCAAATTAAAAAAAAAAAACAGTTTTCATTATTCAAATTTTTTTGTTTGTTTTTTCACCAGCTCGCGTCGCGTTTTCTACCGCTCAGTTGCAAAGTGGCAATTGTAAGCCCTGTATACAGAACAATTCACCTTAGTAGACCTTTCGCTGAATAACCCAAGCACCAAGCTGTATGCTGGGATCGTAGATACACGCGCTGCGAGCATCCGACTTATGAATGTAAAATATTCAAAGTAAAGAATCAAAATAAGGCGTGGAAGGGCGAAAGTGAGAAGTGCCATTTGTTTTACATTTTCACTTTTGAACAGTTAATGCTGCAGATTCCAGCACGCGCGGCGCATATATCTACGTTCCCGGCATTCATGTTGGTGCTTGGGAAATTCAGCAATAGACCCTTTCCGAAATTCAGTCTGGCCACTTTTATCACAATCATCATCATCTGAAAAATGGCATATACGCCGAAATGATGGCGGCCTTCGGTTTACTGTTGAAAGAACAAGTTGAAGATACTCCTAAGCTCAGGATTCGAGGCCTATACACTCGAGACGTTAGCACGTTCCAAGCAGAAATTGAATGCAAGAGCTGCGTGAGGGTTCATTTTTATAACTGGGGCCCAGTTAATTTGTTAGTAGCACAACATCAACTTAAAGCCCCTTGAAGTTGATATATATAACTTTATCAAGGCGCCTATCTGGGTTGGCGCTTCGTTCTGACTGGTCGCATGTTTGTGGCCATCGACACTGAAAGAGATGATCGAGAAAGAATTGTGGAATGAAGAGCACATTCTTGTTGGCCGTTTACTTGCGAAAGTGACGGTGCCCAACGAAATACAGCAGTCTACAGGTTCATTGCCGCCATCAGTATGGCAGAAGTTAAACCGCCATTTCAGCTACCAGATAGCACTGAATTTTGGGAGGGGCTATTGATCAGTTGTTTTCCTGTGCGTGTTCAACTGCCCACATGCGACAACAGTGGCACTATTTGCCGGTCTCTCGGCTCGAATAGGGAACCTTTTCAAACCGATGTCCTCACCAGATGCCAACCAGCCACCTTCGTCGACTGCGCTAACGGTTCCTGTTTTACGGCTGTAGCCGCGAGTGACGGTCGGAGCCTTGATGTGCAACTCTCCTGTCCTGTACGGACCAACTGGCAGACCGGTTTCCACGTCCACAACCTGCGTGGATGAATGTCAGTGGCGAACCGTGTTGTATTGGGCGGTAGCTCGCGCAACTTAGCCTAGCCGACACCTCCTCAGTAAGAAAGCCTAAGTGCTTTCCGGCCTCACTAACGAAGACCACCGTAGGCCAGAGATTGTGACACGACTATACGGCGCCAGCGTAAGGCTAGGAGTCCTGTTCTCACTATTTGGACACGAATTCCTGCCGAACGCTGACGCGACACTGTTGGCCAAAATGCGGCCTGGGATAACCTTCATTAGTGATGCAGGAAAGGATTTAGGCTTTCTTCTCTATAGGAGGTGTTAGCTTTGCTACATATGCACCCCTTTAAAGTTTCCTTTTAATTCTGTCCCCATGGGCGTACCAACCGGGGGAGGCGGGGCAAGGGGGGCGCTTGACCCCCCCCCCCCCCCCCTGTTCTCAGAGTGGGGGTGGCAAGGTATGTGTTTTGCCCCCCCCCCCCCCCCCCCCCTGAAACGGCCGCCACTGGGAGGGCAAACACTGGCCGGCGGCGCCCAAGGAATACCAAGGGCACCGCCCCACGACCCACGCCGGGATATTTTTAACGCGCAGGCGATGCATACCCTAGCAACGGCGCTCACGCCGGATTGGCTGGTTCGTGGAGATAGGCGCTGCCGCCGTCAACATAGGCAGCGGATACAATGCGAGTTTCCGAAGCGGCAGTATAACTTAGTGGTACGATGTCTACCTCATACGTATCAGGCCCGGGTTCTATCCATGATGTTGGCTTAGTTCTTTTTTTTTTTTTTTCCTCGAGCATTTTGTTTTGTTGAGGCATTTAACGATATTTACGACATTTTTTTTTTTTTTTACGATTAACACTGAAAAAAACGAATGTTGTTGACGAAACATCGCTCAACTAAATCATAGGGGACTGTATTTACGGAAGTGCATGGGGGACAGCAGGGCTTAGGTTGCCGACAGGACGCCGCAAAGCGGTGTGTACGGGGGGGGGGGGGGGGGGGGGGTTAAGTGGGTGAATAGTTTTGTAATTAGCAGTCGCACACTGTCGCCGCGAAGCGGCTTGGACGCACGCGCGGGCGTGGGTTAGCGCGCTTCGAGTGATACACGCGCCGTCCGAATCCGAAATCTAGGTTGCCGCGCGTTGGCGAGCAGCCAATCCGGCGGGAGCGTCGTTGCTAGGTGGTCTATCGCCTGCGCCGTAAAAGGAGACAGTGACCAAAGAGCCCGGTGCGCATACGCAACTGGCCCTCTCCTCTCCCCCCTTTCCCTATTTTACAACACCTACACACACACAAGCCCTAAAAGTTAGTGATGGACCGAATCTGTCGAACTTCAGATTCGGCAAAGTTTCGCACATGCCGAAATTTTGAAAGAAAGTTCGGCAAAGATTCGGCAGAAATTTGGCAAATGTCTGCGCATGCGCACGAAGGCGATGGGGTCATGGATCGCAAATGGACTCCGCGCAGTCGCGCGGTTACCATCGTACAGTTTACTACAACCAGTGGTTACGGCGAGGTGTGGAGTAGGCGACGTGGTAACTTTGCGTTTGTGAGTTTTTGCGAGTGTGGTTCTCTTCAATATTTTCTGCCTCAAGAAGAGAAGATCGACCAGTTATTTACGCAGTCCACTGCGCAAGTGCCAAATGATGCGGTGCATTCTGGATAACGTGATTTTCATTGGACCTTTCCATTGATGCAACGAGGTAGTTGAAACATTGACTGACAACTGCCTCATATTACGCTGAGTTTGCGGAGCCCACTGCCGTCAAACGGTGCAGATTCATGAGAGCTTGCCAGAATGTATGGGATGCAGCTGGCATCCTCGTCATAATTTTATACATGTTTTCTCCCTTCCTTTCTTTCCTTTTTACGTACTTTCTGTAGTGTGTATGTTCTGCACATTTATTTGTGTTTTTTTATATGTGGTGGCGGGCTGGCAGCAGACATGCACAAGCTACTCAAAAAAAGTAATTAAGTTAAGTTACCGAGTATTAGCCTCAAAAGTAATTTGAGTAGAGTAGAAATTACTGAAATGGAAAGTAATTAAGTAAATTACTAATTACCGTAAAAAGGGAGCAAATTACTTTTGAAGTTGCTTTTATTTTTTTCTATGCTAACAAGGAAGTACTTACATAGGTTTTGATGCGTTAGCGAAATTCTGCTAGCCGAATATAAAGCAGCTTGTGTTTTCACATAAATGCTTTAATAGCTGGTTCTGCTTCTGCATGCCTAATTGTTGTGTACTTCTTTTTGGTCAAGGATGTACTGCGGATATATCATTTCACCTTTGAGGTTTAGCACTGCCTGAGCTTAATTTGGCAGACAGCGTTTGATTGCTTACAGTGTTTGTTTAATGTACGTCTAAACACTACTTGGAAGTACAAACTTAATGAGAGATTATGTACTTCAAGTAAAGTAGTAAGTACTTTGGGTTCAATGTACTTGAAGTGAAGTACTATAAATACAATGTACTTCCAAAGTAAAGTAGAAGTACTTTTTAACTCACTCTTTCAGAATGCCCTCTCAATCCCTATACAGCGTTTATTTATTTTTTTTCTTTAACATGCCGGTGTGCATAGCTTCAGGGGAAATCGGAGGTGCATCAGTTTTTTCTTTTTCTTGGAAATTGCGTTAATCAATACGCCATAGAGTAATTGCTTTATTTTCGCTGACGAACCATTTAACACAATCAACTTACAAGGCACTTATTGGTATGGGTATTGTAGCCGCCATTTCTTCACTCAGAGAAAATGACGTCTCGAAAGACAGCACAAACTATAGAGGACCAGCAGATCAACTTCAGGGCGGGCGCTGCGCTTTGTTACCTCCTTTGAGTGAGGATGTAGTGTGTATACCTCCTGTAGTGGGCAAGAATTTCTACATTGAGGAAAAACGGGGACAAGCCCTTTTTTCAAATGCGTCAAGTCTCCTTAAGCTTCGGTATACAAAGAAACGCTAGTTTTCGGCGGTAATCCCAGTTACTCGGCCTCTCTTACATCGTGTATGTTCGTTCTTCGCGTCCTATAGCAGTGTCTTTTGCAGTGGGGGGTTGGTTAAAATTTTGGGGAATTTTGGACTATCCAAATTGCTTTTTTCCTCCCCCCTCCCCCCCCCCCCCCCTTTCTACGCCACCATGCTTCCCCCTCTGCAAATATCAGCTGAACTTCTAACATCTTATCTCTGTTGATAGGCAAAACAGCCACTCAGAAAAGGGGTTAAACTACTAATTACCAAATTAGAATTGTAATTAAACGTTACTAAACTACCCAGAAAAGTAGTTAAACTACTGTAACTTGAGTAAAGTAGTTGAACTACGTACAAGTCTGGCTGGCAGGCGCTGTGCGTAAGGGTTTGCACCTATCTGTCTAGCCCCGCACACCACATGGGCACCTTCCAGTATGTGCAAATAAAATTAGTATTATTATTATTAATTTTATTATTATTATTAACATTATAACAATCCTGTTTTCGGCTCACAAGTAGTTTGTGCCAAAACAGAATAAAATTGCTTTTTAGTTCGCGTTATTTCGCGATTTTCATGTATCTGCATAAAACTAAACACAGAACTGTCATGCCCTTGACGTTGCACATCCGACATTCCTAACTCTCCCCATCTTCCTAAACGTCCGTGTGTGTCCTAACACCAGAAACCGGAATTTTAAAGGTTAAAAACGGCACGTTGCGAATATGGAACGCACACTTTCATGCAAAGCTGACGATCAAGTGACTCCAAATCGAAAAACATGCATATTTACAATATTGTTATCTCTTCTGGCGAAGGCTTAGTAACCGTTGCATTCGTTTTCGCGCATGAAACGGTGACTCCCAGAGAAAGTAAGAACGCAGCGATTGTCTTCATTCTAACAATGTAAACACGCTTGCATGCGTGCGCTGATGAAGCCTCAAAATCAAAACTCTCGTAGCGTGATTCGTGACTGCGCCGGCTACCCAACCTCGTTGTCAAGCCATTTTCTGCAAGCAAAGACTAAAATTGCCAGTAAACATACAAAAACGACATCGATACAATTATCTTGTAGAAGATCACCTTATTTAGTCATAAATGTGTCAATAGGCACTACATGCTCTATTTATGTTAAGAAAAAAATAAATATCAATATTAAATCTATTAACAGTGTATTTTTGCCGAATCATTGCCAAATCTTTAGAAAAGTTCGGCAAAAGTTGCGCCGAATTTGCAATTCGGCAAAAGTTCGGCCCATCACTAGTAAAAATATGCGACCCCAGGGGGGGGGGGGGGGGGGGGGGTCTGGTTTGCCCCCCCCCCCCCCCCACTCAAAACCAAGTTGGTTCGCCACTGTCTGTCCCTGTTACATCGCCCAACCCACCAATCTTGTGTAACGTCACGCTTCTTCTTCGAGAAATGGAGGAGAGTGTACGGAGAAGGAGTAGGGAAATGACCCTCCCCTCCGTGTTCTCCCCCCCTCCTCCTCCTCGAGAGCTGCGCTCTAATTTCGCATTACAGGGATTTGTAAACGTCTTTCGTCTTTTTATTAATTCAAATTGCGATAACGCAGGCTCCCAAAAGACGCCACAATCACAAAAACAGGCAATGTAACCAACATAGTTTTAGAGGAAGGTCTCATCTCTTAGCATATGAAAAACTCTGACATCGTTTTCAAGCTATCCAAAAACACAGGATGTCATATACAGTTACACCCCTCTAGCGTGGAACTATATAAAAAATATTTTAAGTGTGTGGATTTGACACGTACGTCAAAAAAATTAATGCTGCGCTAAAACTTTCTTAGCTCAATTATAACGTTGTGAGACACATTATGAGTTAGAAGTGAAACCGAAATTACCGTCCATACGGAGACATTAAGGAGTTTTCGTAGTCCGTTTTCCCACCTCCGCTACGCTCTTCGGAACAAAGACGCCGCCACTGCGCATGCGTGGCGCTAGCTTTGCCGCGGAGTCCTGGATCTTGTAGCAATTTAAGGAGAAAGTTGCGGGACGGCGAAAACGACCTACGAGAACGCCTTATTAACTCCAAAATAGAAGTTAGTTTCGGATTCGTTTCTAAATTAAAATCTGCCCTCTGGCGTTAATGTTACCCTGAACGCGTGCGTAACATGCCAGCTTTCTTGTAAAAGCGGGATTATATTCTTTCGTTCAGTGAAGCCAGCACACCAGACGGGCATACAGTTGGTTTCGTTCCTGGAGAGCACTTCTTTTCTTCTAAAGCTCCGTGCACGTCAAATGGGACACCCCGTATACACGCCCGCCGCGCATACACGTTTACGGCTCTTCTACGAGCTCACCTTCAGCTGCACCAAGCCCGATGGGAAGCCGATGTTGTTGCAGTCGGTCTCGTCCCAAGACGGCATGCAGGCGGGACTGAGCGCTTCCGAGAGGCCGTACAAGTTCCGGAAGCATTCGAGGGAGAACTGGGAACGGATCTTCCTGCCCAGTGTGGTCGGAATGCAGCCTCCGGTGAATAAGATCTTTTTCACCGTATCCAAGGTAACGCCTGTGAGTTCAACGTGCTCGGAGAGTTTGTGTAGCATGACGGGAAAACAGACAACAGCTGTGATCTGAAAACGCCGGCAAAAATCATCAGTATATGCACGTTATTAAAAAAGAAGTATACAGCTTCTGCGTTGTCATCGAAAACTTAAGAAGCGCATTACCGCTACGCGGCCAAACAGAGAGAGGCATTATCCGGTTGGAACCTCGAAGAACCAATCACGGAGCGAGGAGCGCGTTGAGTGATCCCCACCCTCCAGTCTTCGATCCGTCGGTTAACTACATGTCGTTCCGATAACTCTGATAACGATAATACCCTATAGTGATAATGTGCACGCAGAAAAGTGCCGGCAGAATATTGGGTGGCGCCATTAGAGTCATCGGAACGATCTTACTTGACCTCCCTACTGTCATGCTTCGTGGCTAGAGCCAAGACAATGTCGCTTTATTGCGACGTGCGCGAATAGAGGAAGCCGCAGGTTTTGTTCACTAACTGTATGCTTCGTGTCACTAGCTGTGTGCAGTGCAGGCGAAGGCAACGCCAGGCGAAGAGAGAAAGGGTGGAGCACTGAGACTGCGGGACAGGAAAGGAGGGAAATGGAGGGCGAGAGGAGTAATTGGTGTTGAATAGAGAGCACTAGGCACGTTAGAGAGGAGGTTTTTCTCCTCCTCCTCCCCGGCCTTCCTAGCGTTTTCCCTTTCTTCCCTCGCTTGGCGTTGACTTTGCCCGTACTGCACGCAACTAATGACACGGAGTGTGGCTTCTACTTATCGTCTGCCAAGAACAACCGTCCTGGTTGGGTGGGATGCACGTTCAACGCGCAAAATCCTGCATTCCTCCTAATGAACATCTGTGTTCTTCGTATGAGATAAATGGAAGCTAGTTCTGAGCGTCCTCTGCAGACAACCACCGACATTTTACGTTTACAGCAGCTCTTAAAATATTAAACTGCCGGAAGAAAAAAATATACGTTTTTTTTTCCTTCGAATTGTGTAGGTTGTTATGAAATTACAAATGACTTATCTCAAATGAACATTGAAGTGTCGTCATCAAGCATGTAAAGAACATATATTTTAACGCTCCGTGAGGAGTCAGAACTTTATTTTTCTTTTACGACCATGTTGGGTGTAAACGAAGATATGAAGTCTTATTTCACCTAAGTTGTCCGCATTTTATTCGAAATTTTTTCTGGAAAGTATCTGCTACTTTTGTTTCAGTGAAATATTAAGCAAAGCCTGGTTTCCCACATGTTTCAACTAACGTAACCCGTGGATTGACCGCGAAATCTTGCACTTGACTAGACAAATTAAACGATTAAAAAAGAAGTCGGCGCCTGTTGCAGACTTGAATGACAGACTGAAATTCATGATATCAAACGCAAAAGATAAATTTTTCAGCGTTACTTTGCACAACTTCCTCAAGTCATCACCAGCAAAATTTTGGAGATACCTATCGCCGAAGAAACACTCTGTCAACTCTCTTTCCATATCTGATAGCACCGTCAGTGAACCCGGCGTAATCGCGGAATGCTTTAATGATTACTTCTCGACTGTTTTTACCATTGACAACGGTGATTCCCCCTGTATGACAGATGCCGTCAGCTTTGACCCCCTGCCAGATATTAACATTTCGTACGAAGGCGTCTTATCTTATCTTCTAAACCTTGATACTAAGAAGGGTCCTGGGGTCGACGGCATTCCCAATGCTTTTTTTGTCCGCTATGCTGAGTGGTGTGCAAAGTTTTTACATGAACTTTTTGTAGAATCATTGTCCTCAGGAAAGTTGCCACATGACTGGAAGTCAGCCAAGGTCATTCCCATTCATAAAGATGGACCTCGTCAACTAGTTAGCAATTACAGGCCAATTTCTATTTTATGTTCGTGTTCGAAGCTTATGGAACACATTATCTTTAAACACATCATAAGCCACTTGGAGTTCAACCGGTTTTTTAGTCCCAACCAACATGGCTTTCGTAAAGGTCTGTCCACCACGACCCAGCTTATTGAAACGATTCATGAATTTAGTGCCTCTCTTAACCATACCGGGCAAATTGATGTAATATTTCTTGATCTATCTAAAGCATTTGACAAGGTGTCTCACATTAAGTTGCTTGTAAAACTGCAGTCCATCTTAAGTAATGATAATATAATTAACTGGTTACGAGGCTACCTAGAATCACGATCCCAGTTTGTTGAAGTTAGCGGTTCTCGATCTTCATATGCTTCGGTAATATCAGGCGTTCCGCAAGGGTCCGTCCTTGGACCTCTCTTATTCCTGATTTTCATTAATGACATTACTCGTAACATCCCTGTGAAATTACGCTTGTTTGCTGATGACGCCATATTGTACACTGAAGTCCGTGATGTAAATGACCAAGTTCAACTTAATACTTGCCTTTGCAAAATTCAGGCATGGTGCTCGACCTGGCAAATGTCACTAAACCCCATAAAAAGTGTCTACATGCACATCACTCGCAAACGCAACCTCCTAACTTATCAGTACGCATTGCAGAGTCATATCCTTTCAGAAGTCTCGTCCTATAAGTACCTTGGAGTTCTAATTAGTAACGATTTACGTTGGAATGCTCATGTTAACTACATAGTGCGTAAGGCGCTGTCGAAACTGTGGTACTTGCGTCGAAATTTCAAACAAGCTAGTGTGGATATTAAACTGACCGCTTACAAGACATTTATTCGTTCTACTCTCGAATATGCTGCAATCGTATGGGATCCCTACACTGCACAAAATATTTCCTTACTTGAAAGTGTACAGAAAAGAGCACTCCGTTTTATTTTTAACAAATATGGTCGTCTTGACTCAGTCTCAGCCCTTTATGACCTTGCAGGCTTGCCTACATTGCAGCATAGACGTAAGGTGGACAGATTGAAGTTTATGTTCAGTCTAAGTTCCGGTCATGTAAACCTGGATAAAACTTTGTACATAACACCACTTGGGGTTCCTAGATATCCTTCCAGAAATCGAAATATCAGAGCCTTCGCCGAGTTTAGCTGCAGAATAGATGCTTTTAAGTACTCATTTTTTCCGCGAACGGTGAATGAGTGGAACAAGTTACCCGAGGAAATTGTTAATTCTTGCAGCTCGCCAGAATTTGTTAAACGCTTAAACAACTACCTTTAATTTTATTTTTCCGCTGCTCAGTGTGTGTTATGTTTAGGAGCTGTGATTGTGATATGTAGGCCCTATTCTTTTGTTTCTTTCTTGTGTACCTTGTTGCTCTATTATATGATTGGCGTGGTTGATCTTTGTATTTATGCATTGAGCTGTATCTACATGAGAGCCCATTGTTCATTTTTTTTAGGCACTGTCGGCTGTTGGACTGTTGTTTTCTGTATATTTGAAGTGTTTCACTCCTACCATGTCTCCAAATTGGAGTATGTAGTATTTATAAATAAATAAAAAGTCTCTAAATACTCGAAGGTAGCGCAAACCATTGTCCAAAACGGGAAAGAAAAATTCCTCCTCTTCCACGCCTTCTCTCTCTAAAATTTGACTGCCTTCTCATCTTCACTTCGATCGGGCTCGACACGTGACCCCAACCTTCCTATGAGCCCGTGCGCATGGGAAGGTTAGGGGTGGCTGTTGATGTCCATATTTCATGTCTTGTGATTCGTTCATCGGCGTCTTTATTGGATAATGCCTCAGTCTGATTCGCTGTGGAGTGATAAAGAAGGTGTGTGGACTCAGCAGGTTCTGCGTTCTCAGCCGACCTTCCGCTGTAAATTGAACCAGAAAATTCGGCGCCTCCACATAGAAATCTCAGATTTTAACCGCGCGTGTACTGAGCAAGTTAATTTTATAGCGTGAAATTTGAAGGCGCAGTTCCTTTCCTGTAAGGAGTGAAAGCAAAAGGCTTGTCTGAGTCAAGTTTTGACGCAATTGCAGTCGATTGAGTTATTGACGCCTATTTACTTGTGGCTCCATCTCCCGATAGGCGCAGTGAGCGGACGACGCACTTTGTTGTCTGCTCACCGCGCCTATCGGGAGATGGCGCCGCCAGTAAATAGTGGCGCTAACTCGATCGTCCGCAAACGCGGCCAAATTTGACTTCGCCAAGTTTTTTGCTCTTATTTCTTAGAGGGAAAAAACTGCGTTTTGAAATTTCGTACGGAAAAACACACCTGCTCAGTGCTCAATCACTTGAAGTTCGAGCGTCCTATGTGCAGAAACCGATTTTTCCGACTCGTTTTACATCATGTAGGTCCGCTTAGGACACATTATAGTTAAAACATTAGTCGCTTTTCGCTTAAAATAATCTTTTTTTCTTCTTCTTCAACCCCTTTTAAAGTAGTTATGGAGAAAACTACAGGCGCGCGTACCTTGTGTCTTTTTATGGCCCCGGCCACTTCCGTCATGGGTGCATCCGGCTTCCACATTACAGTGGTTGTTCCAGTGCAGACCCCAAACATTGTGAAGAAAAATCCGAAGGCGTGCGTGATTGACTCGCAACCTAAAAACACATCGCCGGCACCGAAAATTCTTGATGACCTGCAATGGGGTGGCAAAAAATAAAATCTAGGTATTTTGATTCACTTGGCTCACGCGAGCCTGATAAATGTAGTGAAATTGTTTACACTTGGCTACATTTTTTACGCGTTCCTCTTTAAAATAAAATAGGCTTTGATAGGTAATGATGCATCTAAATGACGAAAAGCTTACGTGAAATAGTCTCATTACTTTCGAAGTGTCCCTCAAAGTGTAAAAATATATGAAAGGTGTAAAGATTATTTCTGTTTGTCGAGCTAAAATTTAGAGCTCGGACTGTATAAAAGACACTGTTGCTTCTGACGAACAGTGTGCAGAGTGATGCTTTTATAATGTAGTCGAAAGATTGTAATATGACTTAATTCATTAGAGGTAGAAAAAGATTCAGCTTCTTAACTTTTTATAACAGTCGCAGTTTCAGAGTTATAACATTTTAAACTGCTATTGTAGAAATTATGGTCAATCGCTACGCAACTGTGCTAAATACGTGACACGTTCCAGCGTCGCACACGTTTAGCGATACTCTGAGTTTCCAGACGTCAGACACCTACGTTCACGGCGCACTTCATCGATAGCTTTACACGACCCATGTGTACACTCGATATTTTTTTTTTTTTTAATAATGAGGGGATACTACCGCTAATTGGGCCGATGAACCTGGTGATCATGCCGAGACATACAGTTACTCTTGAGTTCGTCTCCCTCAACGCGCACAGGTGGTTCAGCTCCTCCTTGTCTACCCCACTCCTCCTCGCCTATCCCTCTGGTCACATGACATCCCCGTTAGCCCATCAGCGTCGAGCAACTCACTCCTCCTCTCCACCGATCAACCAATCAGTATCGAGCCTCGCGGCCATGCATTTATCTGGGCTTCACGAAATGCCGAACCTCTAGCCAAAGAACGTTTCCCGTTAAAGTCAGAGTCAATATAAATTATAATGCTACCAGACTTGCGCTACACAAACACAAAAACCGCAAAGGGTCAGCAGTTGCAGACAAATCGTCAGCAGTGGCTAAAAACAAAATTCCTTGCTCTTATAACACCTACGTTAGGGACGTCATCCCAGCAATGTAGCTGTAGTGGGTGATTTCCAAGGCCTTGGGGGATCCCGTAGTACCAGAGGAATAGCATATCGCCGCTATTTCGTTCCTGGTGTCAGGCACGGAGACCTCTTGAAACGACGTGTCCGAGATATCTTGGAATGCGGACACCGAAAAAAATCCCGGCCAGCTGCCCACCACCATTAGCTCCTGGGAAACAAAACAGAAGGTTATCCGTTAACTATTTCAGCGTGTTATACCTGTCATATAACAAACGACAATATATATTTTTTTCATATTGGGTGACAGGCAATTTGAGATTTATGATTAATTGTAATGCAAAGCTTCAGTTGCGGTGATCATTTCTATGGTAGCATATGCTTAAATATTTGTAGTACTCTCCCTTCGTTCGTACGTTATATTAATAGTAATGTTTCTTTCCTTTTGCGTTTCATACACAATAAGGGAGGCCAGGCATAAAGCTCATATACTTGCAACCATGACGAGCTTTTACTTTCTTTACGCATTATGGCAAGAGAGAAAAACATTTCAAGCAACAACAAAAGAAACAAGAAAACAACGAAGCATTAAAAGTACTCCCAGCTAACAAACAGTAACTTATTCTTTGATTGCCAAGTAATATTCAAGTGTTTACTCGCATGTTTATTAAGAAGTGATGGAAATGTATATGTTATGGATGTGAAATCATAATTAGTGCGCGTAGTGATAACATTCCAACTCTCGACATCTCGTGTTGTGTACGTCTGATGTGTTCTTGTCGAACCTGGCGATACAGAGATAGAAAACGTGGTTATTGCGTCCTATTGCAACATTCTACTAAACTCTCATTAGACGATAGTTATATGAGTGATTCATTGACATGATTTCATGTTTCAGAAAAAAGAAAAACTCTTGTGGGAAACATTTAAGAGAAAGAGAAATTGGCAGCGACAGTTACATTCTATGTCCTATAAATTGCAGTTTTTAGGAGCGATTGCTTCAATTCTTCTGAAGTCATTAAACAGTCATTTTGAGAGTGAAGAACCTGTGTTTTATTAATTTTTGGGGAAATTAAGATATGTCACGGGGGGGGGGGGGGGGGCAAATGGGGAGGGAGATGGAGAAGGGCACTGCAGGAGGGGTGTGAAGGAGAAGAGGGAGGGGAGGGACGGGGTGGGAGGGGGTTGGACAGGAAGGAAAGAAGATGGGGAGGGGAGCATTGCAGGAGGTTGAGATGGATTGGAAGGGGGTGGAAGAGGGAAGTTAGAAGAGAAGAACGAGGAGTTGGAATCCGTGAGTCACGTGATTTATTTTTCCCGCTTAATCTAGCGGGCAATATAAGTTCCTGCGTCACATGACCAAGCAGAGAAAAGTAGGAGGGGAGGGGGAGATAAGAGAGCTGACGTTGTAGGAAAATAAGGGAGGGATAACTAAAAAGGAGGACGCAGATGGGGAAGACAGCCTAGGTGAGGGAAGACCTGGGGAGAAAAAGGGAGCGAGAAGCGAAGATGGCGATGAGGAGCCGGGGTCGGTGTATCTGGTGACGTATATTGCCACGCGAAATATAGCCGGGAAACTGAATTGTTGTATAGGCCACGTGACGTTGATTTTCCTCGCTAAATTTAGTGGAGAAACTGATTTGGAGATTAGGTCACGTGACATCGACTTCCGCGCTTTATTTAGAGGGTTGGCTCCATGCGTGTATAGGTCACGACACGTCAATTTCCCCACTAAATTTAGCGGGGAAACTGAAGTGTTTAGGTCACAACACTTGAATCGTCTCACCAGGTTTAGCAAGAAAACTGAAGGTGTATAGGTCATGTAACATCTATTGTTCTACCAAATTGAGCGGGGTCGACGTCTCGTCACTATCAAATTTTGAGGGGTGGCGATTGGCCTTGTGACATTTTTGATATCACGTGACCTAAACACCATTTCAGGTTCCCCGCTAAATTTGGAGGGACATGTACGGACGGACGGACAAACTTTTGGTATTGGAGATGACGCTAAAAAGCATTTTAAGAAGAGGTTTATACGTTGTTTTTTTATTTGTTGCTTCATTAAGATTAAAACCTTACTTTGGAAACCGGGCTATTTCTTCAGTTTTTGAGGAATGTATAGCTGGTCCATTGTTTAAAAGTTTGGTCAAATAAGGTATCGACTGTCCAAAGTGACATGTCGAGTGGTTTAGTGTGCCTTCATAAATGGTTGTCCGGTTGAACTTAAACAAAAGTCACGCAGCCAAGCTTTTGGGTTTTGAGCACAGCATCACCTCACACTATCGAAGCAGATTTCAAATTGCCTATTGCTCTAAAACATATCTTACACCTCAGAAAGTAACGCGTTATTCATGAATCTCTCAACCATCTTTACAAGACACGAGACAGTATACAAATGCCCTTTTATTAGTTATGTCGTTCCAAAGATATGCGTTCCTAAGAAGACGAGGGTGGCGTGTGCAGCTACACAGATCCGAAAGGAGCACATGCAGGTAGGAAATATATATATATATATATATATATATATATAACTTCATCGCACGTATACGCACCTTAATATCGGCTCGAGTTTGTAGTCCCCGAAACTTTGGCGCGTTCTCAGAGTCGGTTAAAATGTACTTGGATCCAGAGTCTGTTACTTGGAATGTCAGCTCATCTGAAGAAATGGAAACCCCAAAAACCTTTATGTGCATGAAATGCAAGCATATACTACAGGCTCTGAAGAAATGTCTGTAGAAACTAAGAAAGGAAAGGAGATGAGAGGGCGCGGGCACGCCGTCCGAATGATTAGTAAATGGACGCAGCCTAGCTTCCTTTGTCTTAACTCGCCCTTTTAAAAGCACTCGTAACTCAAACGCCGGCATCCGGCTTCCGGCTTCCGTGTTCAAACGCTTTCGGACGCTGTTTAGAAACAAAGGCAGCTAACTTCGCGTCTGCGCACTAATCATTCGAATCAGAGCCCGGTGTTCCGACGTCCCCTTGCGGTTTCATCTCCTCCTCTCCCACAGTTTCTACCCGTATAGCCACCACGGGTGTCTTAAGCTCTGTATCCATATCGCGATTTTGTCTATTTTAGAGAGCGGGAAGTATAGAAGATAGAAAAAAAAGATACCGTATTTACTAGAGTAAACACTATTTATGTACAAGGCCCTTGCGTCTACTTTCCCACAGAACACATAAACAGTCAATCATGGCTTTGCGCATAAATAACACAGCGAATAGCCAGACCGAGAACACGATTCTCCATACAGACACAATCTTCACAGATGGTATCTCCGCACGAAGACGTTATCTCTGTCCTCTAAACAGCTGGAATCATGTTGTCAATCGCCGTGATTAGCAACCTGCGTGCTTCGAGGAAAAACGAACCTTCAGGTTTTCTTCATAAACAGTGCGGCTATTACTCGAGTAAATACGGTATCCACGCATATAATTTCCATGTAAATATTTTACCGAACTTTTCGAGAAAAATGTTCACGTTAGTCTCAACCGACCTAAATGCATGCCACTCCAATAATAGTCTTTCGCGCGCTTCCGTCTTTGTATATTGGGTTTTTGAATGAGTTCTGAGCATGCGCAGTTGGCATTTTCTGTAGAGTATTCGACGCGGCACATACGTTCGCAGTCCAGAGGTTCAGCATTTTTCACCTCACTGATAAGCGCTGGAAAGTGTTATACTTAGTAATGTTCGGAGGGGCTTTGTGAGCTGTTTTAATTATATATTATACATATACGCTGTTTTGATTATATGTTATACATATAGGCTGTTTTAATTATATGTCTATACATACACTAACCTGTTGTTTTTTTCTAGTCGTACCGCGCTCGAGGTGTGTGATGCTGCGGCGAACAGAGGTTCTCCAGCTGAGCCAACGCCCCCTTGATAGC